AGCTTTACAGTGGAGTGGAGGGTAATCCCAGCAAGCCAGCTGCAGCTTTACAGTGGAGTGGAGGGTAATCCCAACAAGCCTGCACTTTTACTTCCACTGAAGTTCAGGCTGGTTTCTGGCTGTGAGGCTGAAACCTGATTTCTTCGGTGTGGCTCACCATCTCTTTCTTGTGCATTGAGGGCTCTCTCCTCACTCTTGCTGTGGGCTTCAATCCTCACTTCAGAGCCTCACTGAGTCCCAGGGACCCACCTCCCTCCCGCTTCTCTTCCTCATGTCGCTCTATCCTGGCATCTGAACACCAAATCTCAGAGAGGCTGTTTCTCTGCTATTCACCACTCTGCCATCATCCTGGAAGTCTCAAAATTCCTTTTGCTTGTATAGATTCGATCAGAGGAAACTCTCCTACTGTGCCAGCTAAAAATAGCTAGAGGCAGGAGGGGGGTCTCTCTCTCTCTCTCTCTCTCTCTCTCTCTCTCTCTCTCTCTCTCCTCTCTTTGTCTCTCTCTCTCTCCCTCCCTCCCTCTCTCTCTCTCTCCCTGCCTTCCAAGGCAGTAGTGTGGTACTTCACACTCAGTGTCTCCATCTACTCCTGCAGGACTCAGGCCCCCAAGTGTCCTCCTACACAACAGACTTACACACTCCTCCAATAGTTCAGAAACCCCCAAAGGCTTCTTTTCATGTGGCTTATGCCTACCCAAGTCAACTCTTTCAGAAATCAAAGCTGATACAATATAAAAAGGCTTTCTCATTAACATGTTTAGCCAAGAACACACCCCTTATGAAGCAACACAAATCACTTCTATGTGTTAAAAGTAATGATTTATCCCCCAATCAAATAGAAACTAGTCCAAAGAGTGACACATTATTTTATGTATTTGCTAGCTCTTGTGATGTCTGGTAACACAGATAACAATAGACTCTTATTTCTCTCTTATAAATTTTTTTAAAATGTTTTATTCATCTATGAGTATATATTTCCATTCCTTATGAGGAGTCTGCACATGTTCATTACTGAATTTCATTCCTTTTTTTATTCCCTTCATCTCTTTCCCAAGTCAAGTTCCTTAAACCCTTTTCCCTTTTAGAAAAATCTATCTCCCTATTTCATATTATCTATCATTTATTTTGATCTTTATGTAATCGGTTGCAATCTATTTCAGACAACTTTACTTCTGGAAACCCCTACAGCACCTGTCAGAGAAGATGAGCAGGAAAAGTGTGAATTAGGTCTTAGTACTACTGCAGTCTAATGCCAGTAATAGCTCAGCCTCACACACATGCTGAAGGGGACCCAGAGGGCCCCAGGGTTCCTAGAATACACTTTAAGACCTTCAATTCTAGATTAAGAAATATTAGAAGGCATTTTCTGCAAAGGTCCAGACAGTGTACTTTAGTGTTTGCAGGCCCCTGGTTCTCTTTGGTAGTAACAGCTCAGCTCTGCCGCCAGGGTGGGGCATATAACTGCCATAAACAACACCGGACAATGGGTGTGGCTCTGTTCTAGAGCAAGCAGCCCACAGGCTGTGGGCTCTGGTTTTTCCAAGTCTGACCTGGGCAGTGACATAAGCACGATGCCCCCTGCACCCCAGAGGTTCACACGGCCTGAGCACTGCAGGTCAGGTCTGCGTCTCATCTCCCCTGGCAAAGCTTTACCACACAGTTCAGCCCACCACTCAGGAGCCCCTTTCCTCCTCTTTCTTTGCCACCTAGCCTGTTGTTTACTCACCATGCATCTCCCCCCAGTAATGGGGGTTCTCTACGGGCCTGGTGTTAACTTCATTCCCTACCATAGCCCCAGTACTCGGATATCCTGTAAGTGCTCAATAAATGTTAAATGAGCAAATTCACTTTTGGTTTGCCTATTTTATTCTCAGACTTTATTTTCATTTTTCACTCAAATAATGAAGACAAAATGAGAACATGCGCAAAGCTGTGCTCCTTCGGAGGTTGGGCACTGACTGGAACGGTGTATTGGGGGGGGGCTTTCGCCTTTCACACTCACATAACTGTAAAACACTTGGGCGACCAGAGCCGTGGGGATTTTCTTCCACAATGAGAAATTCTCCAACACCAGCTGCAGCTGTACAACTCCATTCCATGCTGACACTATGCAAGCTAGCTCAGGCCTCATGGGCTCAGGACTGAGTCCTGGAAGACAACCCCGACTGCAAACAACCTCTGTATGACCTGGCTACAAACCAGAGGTTTCCACTCCCTCCCTCTTTCTATGTTCAGTCATTTGCCTGAAGGACTCACAGAGACAAAGACAACAGAGCTCACTTGACTACTAGCTTACTACAAAGGACATCAAAAGGACACAGATGAACAGCCAGATGAGAAAGGGCAAAGGGCAAGGTATGGGGGAAGGGGCCCGGACTCGCACACAATCACAGAGCACCCTCTCCCTCTTCACCCCTTCAGAACCCACAGCCTGTCCTTTTCAGCTTCTGTGGAATAGATATCGATTAAATCATCAGCCATGGGTGACCAACTGAACTCTCAGCTCCTTTCTCCTCCCCTTCCTCTAATCCCAAGGTTGGTTCCTCTAGCAACGAGCCACCCCCCACCCCGAACTTTTCAGGATTCCAAAAGATTCCTTTTGTGGCTAAAGGGACTTCTTTTATGTAACAGCTCAGTCTTCTTTTACACCCACTAGGGAAATCACAAGTTTGTCAAATGCTAGCAAGGAAAAAAGGGACACAAACCAAAGTATATACTCCCTGTTGCATGTCTGAACACATAATCTAATACTTGCCTTTTGGAAGTCAAGGCTTGAGCAAGAAGAGTATAGGCAGCACGGGATGTCAGAAAGCCTGGCTTTGCTTCCCGTCTCAGTCACCCACCAGCCAGGAGGACATTTGTTTCTGCAGCTTTGGATTTCTCAACCCTCTCAGGGAAGGAGGGTCATGTTTGTTCTGCGCTCAGCACAACGCTGAGGGAGGGCCCGGAGGGTGGGGCATGTGGAAATTTGGCTGTTCTCACGAGAGGTGGGTCCTAGAATTACTGGCATGGGCTTGCCAGAGCCAGTCACGCAAAGTAGCTCCTGAGACGTGCCCTGACCTATGCCTTGGTACTGGCTGTGGGCTGGGGCACGGAAAAGAAAAAGAATCCTGAAAAACAGGTGGAAGGGGCCATCCGAACTGCAGGGCTGGACCCAGAAACACAAGTGAGGTACAAACTCATGGTTCAGGGCATGCAAAGACTCAGGTCAGTCCCAGCTGGAGGCAGCTTCCCAGGACCCTCCAGCAGGACAGCTTCCTGCTCAGAATGATCAAAGACAGGAAGGTGCCAGCATCCTGCAGCTTTGGCTCCATCAAGACCAAACAAGACCCTGGAAGTTAACAAAGGATGCAATATGCAAGGCCCACCCTTCCAGGGCAGGAAGAGCCAGGCAGGATGCCTTCCAAAAACAATAAGTACATCTAGAGAGAGAATGCCTAGCAAGCCAGTGGTGGTAGGAGGAACCAGAGAAGCACAAGCCTCAGATTCTTCATACTGGACCCACACAGACACCCCCATTCTGCCAAGGTCCATGTACCGGGCGACTTCCTAATACAGCCCTGTTCTAAAAATCTTATGGCCTGAAGGTCCTGTTCTTATTCCTATCAAGCCCAAGGGGACATAGGGCAGAAGATGAAGGAAAGGCACTAATAGCACTTTGAATAACCACCAAAACTGCACCCTGCAAGTTAAGACTCCATTAGGTGTTAGAATTTTTTTTTTCCTTTTAAGGTTTGACTGCACAATTGCTAAGAATGGTGTGTGTGTGTGTGTGTGTGTGTGTGTGTGTTCCCATACTGGATGCTAGAAAGAGGACTTTGATATGTTTGTTGTCACAAGAATGGTCCCTAAAGGGCAAATGTCCTGAGGGCCCAGTCCTGACATGGGTGGTACTGTAGGATTCCAGGTGTCCTCCAGCATCAGGGTTCCCCTGACTGTGTAGGCAAAGGTCAACTGTTTTGCAGGGATTACAACTAACCAATGACTCAGGCCTGGCCACCCACCAGAGGAGTGAAGAAGAGATGGACCACAGGTTGGAGCTAATTTCTGTGGAGCATGCCTGGCATTCGGGCAGAGAGGAGACCAAGAGTATGCACAGGAGCAGTTCCATGCAGGAAGCAGGGGGCATCTGGAAAGGTTGACCCTACAAAGGGACTCACACTTTCAGATTCTTGAATCCAAAAGTCATGAATAACAGGGCCAGGACCTACAGGATTTCAAAGGACCTGCAAAACATTTGAGACTTGAAAATTTAAATATGCTAAATCTAGAATAACAAAATAGCAAAATCGAATTAACTAAAGTTTAAGTAAATAGTTATAAAAACATAACCATGCATGGGTTATGTGGACCACCACCACAGCTGGGTTCACTGGGTTACACAGACATCATGGACATAGGTTCCAAGAGCAACGTAACGCATGTGCCAGGCTGAGAATGGTGAAGTCAGAGTGTTCTGGGCTCAAGCTTTGGATCAGGCCCAGGGCTGACTCCCAGTGATAGACTGGGCAGGACAGCGTCATCTCCAGCGACCCCTGTCTTACTGCATGGGCTGAATCCAGGACTTCCTGGGGACTTATAGCAAGGTGATCAGAAGTCCCAGGATCCCAGAAACAGTCAAGAGAGGCACAGGCCCTAAGGAACCATGACCCAAGGATTACTCAGAAGAGACATAAGCTAGAACTTTCACTCCCTGTGTTTAATAAAGGCATCCTGGAGTGCATGATGGAAGGGGGCACACCACTGCTGCCAACACTGAGGAACCTGGCACCCAGATTTGTGCTGCCCCTGCCATGCTCTCTGCTTAGCCCACTGTGTTTGTTTCCAGGTCCTACAAGGCACCCTTTGATCAGCTCCTGGGCACCTTTTCCTCTCAGGGGACATTTCCCAATGCATCACTGGTGGAAGTCTGCCTCTCAGTGATGCAGCCAGCTGCTAGCGGGCACAGCCATTGCTGCATTAGGGCTATGGCCCCTGTACTGAGCCAGGCACTTGGAGTCTGGCAATGCTGAGAAGGAGCCTTCACATCAAATAATGAGAAAAGAGCCAAGCACATGGTACTCTGTAGTGCCACCAAAACCACCACAAGCCACATCTTCAGAGGGACTGAGACCTGAGATACAAGTCAACCCCCGGCAGCTGCTGCATGTGGAAGGCATTCAGAAAAGGCCAGAGGCGAGACGGCTCCCAGGAAGCCTGCTGTGTGTACAGGAAGGCAACCACAGGAGAGAGGAAGTACAGAATGCCAGCACAGGATGGGAGTCTCCAGTTGCTGGGTACCCACAGCCTCGCCCACCACCCCATACCTAATGCCTGGGATGAATGTGGATTCCTCCCAGCTGGACCCAGTCATCGATCCTACTGAAATGCACCAAAAATTGAAAAAGACTGGAAGTGGATTTTCCCCCATTAGATCTATTTAAGTGTTCAGAATGATGATCTACCATCACAAGTGAAGTATTTAATTACACCCCTGGCTGTACCGATCTGGATAAACTCAAGATTTTGCTATAGGAGACATGCAGGGAAATTCACTATGCAGGACTTAAGGCAAACATACATGCACACACACGCATAAATGCACATGCACAGAAGCACACATGCACACACTTGCTCACCAACACACACACACACACACACACACACACACACACACACTTAGTAAGCAGTACTTCCCTCTTACCAGGCAGATGAGGTGCAGACTATTCAGCCCCTGTTCTCCAGAAACACAAAAGCTAAAAGCACACGAACTAAAGGTTCTTCTGAGAGAGCCCGCCCCTCTGAAACAGAGATGGGAAAATCTATGCAGTGCACAGCTACTTCAGGGATGAAACTTTCCCTTTGCACCTGGGCTGTATCCAGGGCTCTCTTTGAAGACTCAATTCCAGTTTAATGTTGCTTGCTTCATGCTTGTAGTTATAAATCATTTAACTTTTCACATATATAAAGTCTACACACATCCTTTAGTAGATATATAAAACCATATACATTTACAGCTATAGTTCTACATATCAAACATTATATGGCTCAATACAATTCATATTTTATATGTATTTCTATGTGATAGGTGATATGAAATCATACAGAGCTTCTATATCTCTAAGCCCTCAGGGTGTTGTCTCGAGCCATTCTGAGGTCGCTGTGTGCTCAGCAAGTAGCAGGGCTCCACCCCTGGGAAGAGAGCAAGGTCACAGATGGGGCCTGAGTTTGCTTGGTGCTGAACCGCCAGAGGACGAAGGGGAGAAAAAGCCCTTCGGACCAGCTCAGCTTTTACAGCCCTGCCTGGCCCCTCTCCTCTCCTGGTCTTGCCAAAAGCAGAAACACAGGGCTTGTCTTCACACAGTTTAAACTAGTCTCACTGCCTTCCAGAAAGGCTCATCATTACTTCACTTACCCATCAAGCTCACAAGAAAGTGATTCGTTCACTGGACACAAGCCGGTGCACAGGAAAATAATAGACAAGAGTGACTGTGTAAGAAGCCAGAACAATAGGAAAACAGGTACAGCCCATCCCTATGCAAATAATGTAGAGTTAAGACATGAAATGTCTTACCAGAAAGTAAACATTATTTATTTGCCAAAGATATTCCTCTTGCATTTGTCAAGACTTCTTCATTTGCAAGTGGTCAAAGGCCAGGGTAAGCTACCCAGGCCAATATGCCCCCACAATGATTTGGAGGTATATTTTCCAATAAAGGAAAGCAAGGGCTATAAATTATCAAGAGAGGGCATTATTTGCAAGTGACTGTATATCTAATAAGCTTTATAGGCTAGCATAGAAGTTAGGAATACAGCTAGACACAAAATAAATGTGGGAAATCCAAATTTGTACTTTATCAATAACCAGTTGAGAAAAAATTAAGCTGTGTACAATAATTTCAAAAACAATAAAATGCCTATATTCTCATAAGATAAAATAATTACATAAACTAAGATGCAAAATTTTATTGACGATATAAAACAAGAACTGAGTAAGTAAAGAAAGATAATATTCCCGAATAGGAAGATACAAAAAACATACTAATCTTTACAATATTAGTGGGACCTTAATGGTTCATGTTTACTTTTTAGAATTAAAAGAAAATAATTTTAAATTTATCAAGAACTTTAAACTTCAGCTAGAATTATGAAGCAACTTAGACTTGCTCTACCAGATAGTAAAGCTTACTACAAAAGTACTGAATCAAAATACAATTCTTACGTATACATAGACAAATTAGTGAAACAAAACTGAGCATTCAGAGTAGATGAAAAAGATAGAGAAGATTAAAATGTGATAACGATATATTTCAGCTCAGTGGGTAAATAATAGAATTAGTACTAAGTGGCACTAGGATAATGGGTTATCTTTTGAGAAATGAATAAAGTTAGATCCTTACAATGGATTAAAAGTCTCACTGCAAAAGAAATAAAACTATATGCATTGGAGGAAATAAAACAGTTTAGAGAAAACATTTACAAACTTTAGGTTTGGGAAGATCTGCTATCAATTCGACTCTCCGAAGTGAAAATTCTATTTGTCAAAAGGTAAAGAACATCCAAGGAAAACATACTTACCGTGCACATACAAAGGCTGTGTTAATATTCCCACTACTTAAAAGGCTCGTAAAATTCATTATAAAGATAAAGGGCCCTATAAAGTGATTAAAGATTGTGAATATGCAATTCGCAAAAGAAGAAATTCAGCTGCTGCCTCTTCAAAATGAAGGATTCACCCGGAGTTGTGTCATGGTGACACATTCTGTACCTAAATAAGGTGCAGAGAGAATAAGAAAGTCCACATTTGAACACTAAGCCCCTCATATAAACACGCCCTTCTCGCTTTCAAAATATTTAATTGAAGTACTCCATGTTCCTGT